ATATAGAAACTCTCCAACCGGTTGATTTACCATTAGTCTCAACCCCTTACGAGGGCATGGAGCAAATCAGTCATGATGATGATGATGCTACTGTAGTAGGTTTGAGTATTGAAGATAAGTTGGGAGAAGATGATCACAAGCTCCAAGAGAGTGGGGCGAGGCAGATGGTGTCCATAATGAAGAAGTCCCTCTCCACTACTTGATGGTGATATTCCTTTTTGTGTGGAGAGTGACAACATCATCCAAGAATACATTGATAAGAACAGTGTTAATGAGAGTTGGGATGCTCACACAGAGAGTGATTGACGTGCACTTTGTCGTGATGTGCACTCAAAATAATAATACAATACAACACTTATACGTAGTATAACGTAGTAAGGTTCGTATCCACAGGGAAAGGAATACTTTTCTTTTCATAGAACTAGTAACAAAATGGGGGGTTTTAGTTTGATTTGGTTTAATAAATTAAACACGAAGATGAACAAGTTATGTGGTTTAATTAATGAGAAGAAGACTTGGCTTTGCTTTTATCCACTTAATGAAATGTTTGTCGATCCCGGTTATATCTTTAACTATCTTCCTCTCGAATACTCAATCGAGGAGTATATCCAGTTCATCGAGGGTAGTTATTAATAACGAGACGCGTTCATTAATAAAACTTACAACCGAGTCAATATAGAACAAGCGCCGTATATTAACTTGATAGTAGCAATAAAATCAAGATGAAAACGATTGAGATTGATAACCTCAACACAAGCGGTTTATTGGTTTAATCAATATAATTAATTCTCCTTGGCTTATTAACCATGAGAAGCATGCATTAACAACCCAAGTTTTCTACCGTGAAAGGACCGAATTAATAACAAGCGTATTAACCGACCGATTCTAGTAATAATTAATATATGAGACAAAACTAGTTGATCCTTTAAGTAATGTTCAAAATATTAATATGAAATATGAATAGGAATTAATTAATACTCAAGGAAGAATATTAAAGAAGATGAATCCTACTATAGTTAATATCAAGATGTTAACTAATTGTCATTTTAGTAACACTCCCCAATATTAACATAGAGGAAGAAATAGCTATTACTATAACTAATGTCAAGATGTTAACTAATTGTCATCTTAGTAACACTCCCCAATATTGATATAGAAATAGTATTTAAAGGGAGAATTAATATTCAAGGAAGAAGATTAAATAAAATAACTCACAACTTACAAATTCATTAAGCTTCAAAGTAGCAAAACCAAGATGGAAGAGTTTAGCTCCTCATTTGGAGACTAAACATGATAGAAAATATAAAGAAAACACTAATCTAAACTGAGCTAAAGAGTATATGTGAATTGGTGATTTTATTGGGAAGGAAAGGGGTGTATTTATAGGCTTTTGGGAGCTGCAGGGTCTGATACCCGACCGGGTATATAGGATACCCGACCGGGTATCTCAGGAAATTGCCCAGAAAGTGATTTTTTTGGGCATACCCGATCGGGTAAGGGTATATACCCGATCGGGTATGTGACAAATCTTTATGAAAATTTGCTCCCACGATCATTTGTCTTCGGATTTGATTTGGACAGTCGAATCAAGCAATTACCCGATCGGGTATAGGCAATACCCGACCGGGTACATGAGTATTTTTTCCAAATCGAAATCTTTCTTGTCTCCTTGCACTTTCCTTGATCTTTTAAGGTCCAATCTTGATCCCTTAGATGATCTTTGACCTGTTTAGCTCAGAAAAATCCTAATCTAACTAAATTACAAATAAAAATGAAAATAAAGTATTACACCAAAAGTGTGTAATTTCCACAACTAGAAGTAATAAAAACTAGTTAAAATACAAACATACAATCGGAAATTACATGAATATCAGTGATACAGAGTCCAGAGGAGGTGTTTTGAATGTTCATAATATTTATGAGGAAAAAGAAGACTTTTCAATGGTGCAGTTCGATTATGGTGTTGCTCCTGATCTTTGCTCTAACGAGGGCTCTTTGGTTTTGTAACTCTTGTTTAACTCCGTATAGTCAAAATGAACCTCAACACCAGCCTTGGTCTTTCTCTTTTCATCCTCGAGGACATTCGTTTCATGAGCTACAGTGAAGGCCATAAGTTTGGTCAATCATATTTTAATGTACCTAACATCATATAGTTGGATACAATTGACCTTTTTCAGGTTCTAAGGATTGGTGATTCCTAGGTCTTCCTTAGAGTTGTAGAAACGAGTGTCCTTAGACTGGTTAAGAAAAATCCTCTGATCTGGTTAATTTTTTTTCTGCACTTTATTTGTGCAGGTGGTGTCTATGATGCTCATGATGTTTGACGAGCCTTGATAGCGCTTTAGAAGATTTAGTGTAGTTTTCATTTAGATTAAGTAATGCTAGTTAATTTTGAATTTAAGTTTTAAATTCGGTTGAACTACTCCTGGTGGATAGCCTTAACATCGAGCCAAATTGAGGGCTGGGTGTGGCGGTAACACACCTGTTTCCCGCTGCAGAACTCTATATCTATTTTGAATGAATATAATAAATCAAGGTTATTATCAATATATTATTATTTCAAGTATTATTTTGGGCGAGGAAAAATGGGGGTGTTACAGGACATCTGCTTTTTTCCCTTCAAAATACCAATAAATAGTAAAAGACAAATTTGGGGAAGCTATGCCTGACCCAAATCTGGAAAAGTTGAAATCTAAAAAGATGAGATACCGATAAATAAAGCAAGTAAATAAGCCTTTTTCACCAGAATGAGCAACTCTTCAATATTATTAAAAATCATATGTTGGGATGGAGACAGATACACTAGATAATGGGCCGTCCAGTTGCCTTCTCTGCACACATGCACTTAAGAGACCCCTTTAATTTTCCTAGTTGATAGCAACATCATTTAATTTCCTTAACAAAGTCTTTCCATCTCCCCGATCCACCGCTAGTCATAAAATCCATCGCCACCGTCAAGTTACATTCAACTTCAAATTTCTCATATCGAGCATCGAGCGCCCAAAGAGAAGAAACGATTAGATAGAGAAGCTTCTCCTCTAGACTGGAAGAAGCCTTCAAAGGACAGCAAATGGAGAAAATCGTCTCACCAGCTTGGTTTCGCTTAATAGCTCCCCCCGAAGCTTTATGAGGTAAGAATGAGGCGTATGTATTTAATTTTAGCCTACCACGAGCCCTTTTCTATTTTATGATTCTGAATCTCACACCGGCGATTTAAAATGTCATCAGAACAAGTTTTTTTCCATATAGAATATTTCCCACCGAACTAATTTTGAGGTTCGTAAAACTAGAAACCTAGCTCTAATTTAAGTAAACAAATTAATGTGATAAGTGATGGAATCCGAGGATGGAATATGTTTACCCTTGGCCCAAATGGTATCTGCTTAGATTTTCCAAATGTGCTAGCAGATTATACCAGGTAAGATGTACGTGCTTGAATATATCTATAACTTTCTTACCTGCCCGCTTTAAACCATCATGACATTAAACTTGCTTGATAGTATTTGTCGGGCTAGGGGATGGAATTCCTAGATACCCATAAAGTAGTGCCAAATTAGTAGGATAATCTCACATCTGAAAGGAGGTGGTCCATTGAATCCTCACTAGATCTGTATGAGGGACATATAGAACAAACTTAAATCTCCCAAGATTATCAGATGTTGGAACAATCTTATTCAGAACCTTCCACTGTAAAAGCCTCATTTTCAAAGTGTGCTTTAGATGCTAACAATGCTGCAAGGAGAACATAATAGATAGTTCCCTTTTGATCAGGTTATAGGCTGATTTAAATGAAAATAATCCATCATCCTCAGAAGACCAAATGAAATTCCCTACATGAGAGAGCTAAATCATTAATAGAGAGGATTCTTCTCTGATTGGATTTGAATTATCATTCTTATTGACTAGCAATACATATATGCTTGATTTGACTCATCATTCATACTTTTCAAAATCTTATCCTTGGGGATCAGCCTACCCCTAATTCTTCAGAATTATCTACATACAAGTTTTTTGCAAGACTCAATTACCATATTTATGTGTGTGCCTGTGTACTAGTAAAGTGAGAACTGTTGAAGCCATGGGTCGGGTGAATCTAGCTCTAAGGGGGCAACCCGTGGGATGTGGGGGTCTAGTGGTTCAATTCCAATAGCACATAATAATGCCAACTCTGACACCATCCTTTCACAATATTGTTTCTAATGATATATAATGTCTCATTAAAATTTCATCCTCGTTTCAAATGCCAATAATCTATTAGCGGTGGTAATGCACAATATATTTGTTACACATAGATGTCCAAACAAACTAACAAATAAATAAAATAAATGTATTAAAATGAAGAATATTTGCATCTTGTTATTATATTAAATACAACATACTTATTAAAATAAAATATTAAAAATGACTTGATCCAACAATTTATTTTTTCAAACTTCAGTAGTTGTTAAGTTTTTAAATCTTTTTCGATCCATTCACGCCTTGTGTGATTCTTATAAAATAAAGATTTCATAAATATAATAAGTTAGACACTGCAGGCAGTTATAATCTTAAACCGTAAAAATTAATTGGCGCATCATAAAAACATATATAGTAAAATCAATTTACAAAATTAAATTTATGCGGAGTATAATCAAGTGAAAAGATCATGAACAGTCAATTAAAAAATCGTAAATAGCACGGATCTAAGAACGACGAGGAGGGAAGAAGAAGTGGGTGGAAGAAAATAAAGAAGTAGAAAAAAGAATGCCTAAAAAAGAAATAATTAATATTAGAAGAAAAACAAAAGAAAGGAAATCATGTACTCTGTAATATGTAGCAAAGTATTTAAGAGAGATCAAAATGATAGTAATGTAAGATTAAAATTTCAAATGCATAAAAGATATAAAATTAAAGTTTAAGACACCATATATCATTAATGAGACGTAACACCCAAAATTTTAGAGAAGTTTTGTGTGTACACGTTTTTGTATACATGCACCTTACATTTTGTCTGTTTCAAGGGAAATTCCTCTTTACCACACGCAATGCATCTAAAAATAAGAAATTGCCTATAGATTTGTATTAAATATCCACTACAAAAGAATTCAGGGTACTTGCACATAATTGGCCTGACAAGTATTGATCGAGTTTGGCATGAACCATAACATATTTTATCGCATGGATCCATATCAAATAGCTCGTGACAAAACGGCACTAAATGGAATTTGGCACGATTTTCGGTATCTGTGCCAAATCCGTGCAAAAAACCCTATGAATTTTGGAATATCCGTGCTAAATCTGTTCCAATTTCATGATTGTTTTCTGCAGTGATCTATGATACACAATATATGTACACCACATATGGTTTTACATTCACCAAGACCTCATTTAGCATTGAGTTATCCTTAAATCGATCTCCTCTTTTACAACCGTTAAAACACTCCAACACTCTAATCATATGTATCCAGAATTATCTAAGCATATATCAAGTTAAGATTTGTAATCAAGTTTTTCCTTCAGACTTATTTCGCTCTTCATTTTTGCAGGCACACGAGTCTTAGACAATCATTGGTGTTTGGTTGTTCTTATTGTGACCAACATGTATGGATCGTGAGAGGAAGGTACTACTACATGAGTATTTGACGTTTTGTTTTCTCAAAAGATGGCTTGTCAATTCAAAATGGAAAATTGCAAATTACCTAGTGATCTATTGATTGACATTTTGGCAAGACTGCCTGTAAAGTCTCTGATGCGGTTTAAGTCTGTTTGTAAATCTTTCTATAAATTGATAAAGAGTGATCTTCAGTTCATGCACAAACACTATGATATTAGCAAAACAAAACCAGGATATGCTGTTATAGAGTCAGAAAATGATCAAAGTAAAGTTGTAAACTTGCTTTACAAAGAATCAAAGTTTTATGCGGTGGGATGTCGAAACCTAGACATACCACTTTCCAATTTGAAAATATGGCATGTCAAGTGTTTGTATGGTGTGTTATGTCTGATTGTCGGCAGAGAGGATCTATTTTACCTTCGATTCGGGAAGGAGATGATTTATGACATTTTGATATGGAACCCATCAACCAAGGAAATCAAATCTTTACCCGCACTTGAGGTTTCCTTCCAACATCCCGACGATCAAAGAAACGAACAACCTGTCAGGTTAACAGTGAATGATGGATTCGGTTTTGGGATTTGTAAGAACATGATTTGGAAGATTGTTGGTCTCTGGAATTTTGAAAATATCGTAATGGTTGGTAATCAAGTTGGTGATTCATGGTGTTGGAGAAAAATTGATGTAACAAATCTTACTTCTAATGAATTGTATATCATTGAAGATTTTTATTTAAAAGGAAGATATTATTGGCGGGTTATGGAACTCTCCCCAATTCCGTCTCCTGATGATTGTGAGCAGCTTCTTTGGTTTGACATGGATGATGAGTTTTTTGGGACAGTTGAGTTACCATCTCATATCGGATCTGGTTTGTTTACAACTATGGACGAGACTGTTGCTTTTCTTGGTTTTCCAACTATGGCAAACAATTATCAGATCAAGATTTGGTTGATGCTTGAAGATGAATATCACCATGTTAATTGGCATAAATACACAACTATAGACTCTCATCATTATCCAGATGAAAGACCAATAGGAATTTGGAATCACCATTTGCTCCTATTTCCTCCAATTCCAAAAACTGGCTCCTTTATATTTTATACAGATTTTGTACCATCTTTGATTTTTTCCGATTTGGAAACTAGGGAAAGGAAGATTTTGTATGTCACAGAAGAAAGGAAAAAAATTGACATTGCATATAACTCAAGTGGTTGCGTTCGTGTATACTTTGAGGGGAACGTTCAGATTGCTCGAGAGTTCACAGAGTTTCATCTAGTGGGGGCGTTTGTTCGAGCTTATCATGAGAGCCTATATTTTTTGTGAAAAGGATATGACATTTAATTGTTGAGTTCAAAATGTTTCATCTAATTGTAATTATTTGTTTGTTTGTTTGACATTGAACTATCATTTATTTGAGTAGTATATGTTTGATTAGACTTATACTCCTCTAAGTCTTGTCGTAGGCGATCAACATGCCTTAATGCTTCAAAATTATCATGCATCAAGAGTTGTCCAGGACTAATACCATATTAATATGTGTATGTTTTTTTGTACTGTTAACATCATAATCGTTGAACTTATGGGTGTAGCCAAGCGAGCCAACACGTACCATTGGCAACCCCAATCTTTATGTGGTCATTTACTTTTAATAAGTCTGGTGTGAAAGATTATTCATATATAAATAGATGGATATTTTATTCAGGTCGCCTTAATTTCCCGACCTACCTACACCATCGGACTTGAAGCAATATAATAATGAAAAACAATTCTCATCATGATCTTTCGTTCTGAGGTTTTAAAAAAATTATTCGATTTTTACTTTTTGGAAAAACATGACTAAATGTTACTATAGTCACTATATTTAAGTGATATCAGTTTTCTTAAAACAGCTTTTGTTTGAGTCACAAGTTCATAATTTTTTCATTCCCTATTTACACTCGGCTTAGTGTCAGAGATGACCATGGATATATTAAATGTTAGTATGTCTATAGAGATGACCGTGGGTGCAGTGTATCAAGTGTTAGTACGTCTAATGATATCATGGTAATACTCTATAGTTATTTGGGTAATTTTTTTCATTATTTTCATTATATAATCCTGAATTGAAACACAGTGTTGTATAATTATTTTTATTATGTTAATCTGATTGTACAGTTATTGTTTTAGACCAAATATTTTTCACTACAGTGAATGATGTTTTATTAGAATTGAATAACTTTATATTGAAGTTATAATCATGTAGTACTTCATATTATTTCATCTACATCTTGTCATTTATAAAAATATTATGCACGAGGAAATAATGCATAACTTGTGCAAGCATGCTTAACTTGAAACTTACCTTGTTAGTTCGAGTGGTACTTTTAGTTCTAATAATCTTTTCTAGGGTATTACACTACTTCTGGAAACTTGATTTCATGGCGGTCCAAAAAACTAACTACAGTGTCAAAGTCTTCTACTGAGCCAAAGTATCGTGCAGTAGCTTACACAGTTAAGGATATTTTAATTTACATATCTGGTCCATTTTCTGAGCTCGGTCTTCTTATCACCACTCCAGTCAAACTATTTTGTGATAATGTCTACTCTTCATACCTGGCCAATAATCACATTCATCATGATTGAAGCAAACATATCAAGATCTATTACCATTTTGTTCAAAAACGTGTTGTTCATGGTGATCTTGTGGTCAAATATACTCCTACATATTTTCAGTTTGCTAATATTTTTACCAAATATTTGTTTACATAACAATTTGAGTTTTTAAAATCCAATATGCGCATTATATTGGTTCCCCTGCACAGATTGTGGGGATATAAGTGTAAACTGGGGTATATTTGTAATTTCTCTAAACATTACTTATTATATATATCAGGTCAGGGCTCACTTTAGATTGAGCACCTTTATGATCATAATTATTCACATCTTGTACTTAAAATGTAATTTTTACAAGTGATTATTTAAGAAAATGTTGAGTAATAAAAGTTGATTTTTATTCATTCATTCATCATTTACCCAAGTGCTGCCGCAAAGGCTCCCACCTACGGTGGGGTAAGGGGGGGGTCGGATGTACGTAGTCTTACCCCTGTACTAAAGCATAGAGAGAATGTTTTCGGATGACCCGGAATGAAAATCGCGTCCAGAATTACATGAACTGATTGCTGCTTCATAACAAAGAAGCACAGACAATTTGGTGTGCCATTTTTCTTTATTCCATCATATTCTAGTAATAAAAGTTGAATGTATTTGAAAAATTATTCTGGAAAAATTAAAGTTTGCAGTGATTGGTAAATAAAAGTTCTCCTAATACCTAAAAGGAAAACAAATGTGATGGAGCATTCTCTTGCTAAAAATGTTCACATAAAAAATAATAAAATAAATACTTTCTATAAAATTTAGAGATATTACCCAAAATAGGACTAAAACAGTTTGAAAATTCCAAAATAGGACTTCCATGTTTTTATTCCCGAAATAGGACTAATTACTGTCATGTTTTGACAGTACCAGACTTTAAACATGACAGTATTTTCCAAATTTGGCAGTAATTTGTCTTATTTTGGGAATAAAATCATGACAGTCCTATTTTGGAATTTTCAAACTTTTTTAGTCCTATTTCGGGAACTTTTCCTAAAATTTATTATCTCAATGAGTAGTATTCCCACTCAGAACGGTCTACATCCAAATAAAGCATATGTAAATAAACTTCCCAATTGTGTCCAGGAGATGGAAGAAGGGAAATGGAAGTGTTGTAGAAGGGGAAAACTAGGGGGTGCAAAAGTTAAGAGAGGTAAAGACTAGATAGGGACAATTAAAAAAACTTTCAATTAAAGACCTCAATCTTGATAAAACGCGCTATGTCTTATCAATCAAAGTCTTAATATGCACTCGTAATATATTTTGATTTTTTTAATCTATTATTTATTTCATCGCTAACTATTGATATTTAAGTTTATTAGTTCAATAAGGTTATATACTATTTAAATTTTTTAAAATAAAATATTGTCCCAAAACCATGCGATATGACGAGCACTTTGTCACGGTGCGTCAAAATAATATTCGATCATTGCTACTTTCCACTTGTTGATATATTTTAGTCGATCATTGTTATATTTATAACTTATCCCCTCTCGAATACTCAATCGAGCAGTATATCCAATTCATCGAGGGTAGTTATTAACGACCGTTCATTAATAACCTTTACTATTAGTGAAGTATAGAACACTGTCATATACCGACTTGATAGTAGCACTTAATCTCTTAACTCCTTGATGAAATCAAACCGAAGTTACTATAACACCCCGGCCCCGCAGGACCCGAGGTAGTTACTCCAACACACCCTCCGGACCTCTAGTACTGTCCTCACAAACCACCACAAGCCTTTACCGCGCATTTTGTCCTCACTCGTGCGTGCCCTGAGAAACTTTCCAGGAGGTCACTCATCCCAAGACTACTCCCGTGCAAGCACGCTTAACTTTGGAGTTCTTGGCTAATGAGCTCCCTTAAAAGGAGATGCACCTTGTTGGTATGAGTATTACTATTAATCCATTTATATTAAATCTCAAGTGTTACAGTTACTTACTTGTGAAACCATTAACGATTAACAAGCGTATTCGTCGATCGATTCTAATAATAATTAATATATGAAACAAAATTAGTTGATCCCTTAAATAATGTTCAAAATATTAATATGAAATATGAATAGTAATTAATTAATATTCAAGGAAGAATGTTAAAGATGATAAATCCTATTATAACTAATGTCAAGATGTTAACTAATTGTCATCTTAGCAACACTCCCCGACATTAATATATAGAGGAAGAAAATAAATACTACTATAACTAATGCTGAGATGTTAACTAATTGTGATCTTAGCAGTACTCCCCAACATTAATATAGAGATAGGATTAAGGGAAGAATTAATATTCAAGGGAAGAAGATAAGAAAATAACTCACAACTTTAATAATCAACAAGCTTCAAGAGCAACACCAAGAAATGGAAGTTTAGCTCCTCATTTGAAGACTAAACATGCTATAAAAATATAAAAGAAATACTATTCTAAGTTGAGCTTAAGAGTATGGAAGAAGGAATGAGTAAATGGGACGGAAATAGGATGTATTTATAGGTGTTTGGAGCTGTCAGGGCCATTTACCCGACCGGGTTTTTGAGAACCCCGATCGGGTAAAAGACAAATCTTTGCCAAATCTTCACCTGCACGTTAAATTGCCCCCAAATCAGATTTGATTTTCGAATCAAGTCAATAACCGATCGGGTAAATGACTATTTTTCCAAATTTTCACTTGATCTTTTTCCCTTGCACTTTCCTTGACCTTCCTGAGGGTCTTCTTGATGATCTTCACCTAGTTAATGCTCAGAATAAATCTAATCTAAACAAATTACAAACAAAATAGGAAAAATAAAGTATTGCACGTAAAGTGTGTAATTTCCTAAATAACAACAAACAAAATTAGTTAAAATTACACACATAAACAAACACAATTCTAAGCTATCACGATACTTGAAACCTTGCGATCTTTCGTTTTTTTGGATGTCCCAAAATTTTTACACTCTCCCTTTTATCAATTAAAATGTGATGATTCATGTTACTTCTCTCTGCTATGCACAATCCTCAACCACATGGTTTTTACTTTATTATATTATTATTCTCCGTGTCAGTCAAACTTGGCAAATTTTAAGGCACATATGGAATACTATCCTCCGTCTCTTTTTAATCGCAACGTGTTGACTTTTTGCACTGTTCACATGATCTACTTTGACTATATTTTACACTATTATTGGGAAAACTGTCAAATAGGTCCTCGAACTTTCATAAAAAAGTCAATTAAGTCCTTCTATAGAAGACTTTGTCCGATCGTCGCGATTTGGGGCGGTTCCCGGTGGAATTTTTTAATGAAATTTTTTGAGCATCTTATTCATCAAGTCTAGTTTACTCATACCAAATTTCAGCTAAAAATTTAATCGAGAACGCATTCAAATTAATTCGCAGTTATCTTCAAGAATTCATTTGAATGCCTTCCTGTTTGAAATTTTAGCTGAACTTTGGTACGAATAAACTAGACTTAATGAATAAGATGCTCAAAAAATTTCATCAAAAAATTCCACCGGGAACCGTCCCAAATGGCGACGGCCGGACAGAGCCTCCTACATAAGGCCTTATTTGACCTTTTCATGTAAGTTTGAGGCCCTATTAGACCCTTTTCCCGAAAAAAAAAAAGAATCAGCAGCCTGCTTAAAGACTATCCAGACGATTGACAACCTAAGTTTCCAGATGACTTAACCGAAATCTACTACTCATCTCTTATTAGCACTAAATCAATTAAACAAAGGATCAACTTGCAGTCAAAATAACAATTTGATAGGGAAACTAATTTTATAATACATTTTTATCACATTACAAATTTCTTATAAAATTATTTTACTAAAAGCAAGTAATTGTTATTTGAAAGGAATCATTAAACTACATTCAACCTATATACTAAGTCTCTACGGGCAAAAGAAATAAAAGAAAAATCAATCTTTCTCTTTGCCTTGAGATGAGGAAAACAAGTTGTGGGAAGAATTGATCCGTGTCAAAAAAGACAAAGATAAACCACATTGCCTCAGTCAAGTGGAACAAGCAAGTAGATCAAGCAACAGTCAAGAATGAGCTCCTCAGCCAACGGTGGAGATACAACAAGTCTATAAATACAGAAGGAGTGCGGGAAGAAACAAGTGGAATAGCCAAGTGGAATAGAAGGGAATCAAGATTCACACGAAGACATTTCAGCCAGCTGATTCCCCTTCACCACTTCGGTTCACACGAAGACATTTCAGCCAGCTTAGATTAGCTTTAATTCATACAAACCTATAGCGCTTATATTAGTTGGTAGTTTAGTTCTCACCCATGTAAACTAGACTAGTGTTAGACATTCTGGAGGGCTTTGTGTTCCAATAGAGAAGGTGAGAAGGGCAAGGACATGAGTAGCTCTTGGCAAGTCTATGCCATTAGTGAAAAACCTTGGAGGACTGAGTAGCTTGGAATGGTGTACATATTCCTTGTGAAAAACCTCACAATCTACGTCTGGGCCAAGGGTAGATTGGGCACAAAATGTAATGAGATATTCATTTAGTGGAAATCCATTTGAAATAGGTTGGGACTGCATGTAGAAGGATTACACCACCTCTGTACCAGGATATATCTTGTGTCACCTTTTATACTCTTTTCCCAACATACACTTCAGTTCTCACTCACCTTCACAACTTCACAGCAAAATAGCTTGCTCACTAAAACTGTCCAGTGAACCTTCCAGATCACTGTGAATCAACTCTTTGTTTCTGTTCATCAAAGTGATCTATTTTTATAGGTCTAAATCCTTCATACTCATGTGTCAAGACTGTTAGATTATTGGACTTATACTACATATAATATTCACAATATATTATTTATTGGGTTAATTGTATGTTATATGCTATCTTATATTTAGCCCAAAAATTAGTGATCCTATGGATATTAATTTAAGTGGGCTAATAAGTTATCTAATAAGGTATAGGGCCCAAATGTGTAGAGACCCACGGGCTTAACCTAATTAATGATGGGCTGATTAGGGTTAAGCATTCTCTATAAATAGAGGGGTTATGGTCCCTAGTTGAACACGTCATTCCGTCTTTCTGCATCCCATCGCAAGAGAGATAATTCTCGAGGGTGTGTATCAACTAGAAGACGCAAACCCTAGCCTCCGTCTCTCGGATCTCTAAAGATCGTCTCCAATGGAGTCAGGTACGCTTCCGCTCAGTTAATTCTCTAGATAATTTCAATATGAAGATTAAAGTATTATCGGATTTATTCCAACAATTGGTATCAGAGCCTTCTTCATATTGAATTATTTGGAGTCAGATCGGTAGTTAATCATTAAGCAAAACGATTGAATTTATGCTGTTTCGTTTGTTGTGAAATTTGTCGAAAACGATTGAATTTATGCTGTTTCGTTTGTTGTGAAATTTGTCGATCAATCTGGAATTAGGGTACTGTGATTAACGTTTATGTGATTCATGTAATTCTCATGCTTGAATCGGTGCTGATTGATTAATTGAATCCATTATATTGGAGTTTCGTGATCCGGTTTGGAATCGCAATAGCATTTGCGATTGTTCTTTTGAATATATATTTAATTTTTTTTTTCGATTGTGATGTTCTTGATGAAATATGAAATCATTTTGAGTATCTGAATTTGTCCCAATTGGAATTCTACTTCAACGTTATCTGTAATTAGAGATTTAGAGTCGGCAATTACGGTGTTTTTGGTTATCCAAAAATGGAACAATTTAATGATTTAAGGAGATTTTTTTAATTTATGGTGATTCGGCAATCGATGATCTGATGGAATACTGGAATTAAGTTTTTTTTAAAGACGATTATGGTTTTGATAATAGCCGATTTGTTGTTTTGGTCTGCACCATAGTTAATTTCAATGCTTGGGTTTCGTTTTTTGTTTTCTGGAATCATTCAAGTTTTTATTTTTGGGAAATTATCAAGATATGAAAAATTCTCTTGCACGTTAGTACGAAGTATTTGGTAATGGTAATAATAAAAGTATCACTTTAGATCTTGATTTGTTTCCATTTTCAGCTCTAGAAATTTTATGACTTTGGTAATTAAGTACATATTTATGATTAAAGATTTTGGTAATTAAATGCTTATATGTAATTACGGTCAATATCAGTCTTATTATTTTGTTGGTCATTGTATTTTGTGGGATGAAATATGTGTATTATGAGTTATGAAAGTGTAAATCCTATTTTGGGGTCACACAACGATTGGGTACAGGTTTTACAAATTATCATTACACATAACACATTTGTCTGTGATTCAGAAAATTCGCCCAATTTTATTTTTCAGACTTTTGATTTAATATTAGCATGTCTAATATTTGGGTTGGTTAATTGACACAACATGCTGCCAAAGTAGCCTCTCTTGTTGAAATTAATTAACTCATATATTAAGATGATTGTGTACTTTCTTATTTCATGCGGATAATAATCGGCCCAAAGGAAGGTTATTATTTGGCCGAAATTTAAGTACATTTGTGATAATAAAATTTGTGATAATTATGAGGTTTTCATGTGAATATTAAGTCGGTCCAAAGAAAGGCTTAGTATTTAACATGATTTTATTATCAAAGTTTTATTATTACACCAAGAGTACCACTTGCAAGTTTAATTCATGTCCAAAGACTGGATTGGATGTTGCGCTAGGTATCTTGTGATGGGAATTGCTAATATTTAAATTTAAAACTAATTATCAAGATTATTTCAGTTTTTAGAGCATATAATTTATATTATTTTTGTTCTCTTTCAGTCAACAATTCAGCTGCTACAATATCTGCTAATTTAATAGCATCACTGTGCTTAACGGCACAAATTTTAAGGAATGGAAAGAGAACGTTATGATTGTTCTCGGTTGCATGGATCTCGACCTTGCACTCCGGACTGAGAAACCCGCCGCTCTTAAGGACTCATCTACCCTTGATGAAAAGAGGGAGATGGAGAGGTGGGAACGCTCAAACCGCATGAGTCTGATGATCATGAAACGTGCAATTCCAGAATCATTCAGGGGCACTATGTCTGATGAGGATGATGCCAAATCGTTCCTTGCCGAACTTGAAAAGCGTTTTGCTAAAAACGAAAAGGCGGAAACTAGTACTCTTTTGAGCACTCTTGTTTCCATGAAGTACAAAGGCAAAGGGAACATAAGGGAGTACATTTTGGAAATGTCTCATATTGCTTCAAAACTAAGTGCACTTAAGCTTATTTTACCTGAGAAATTGCTTGTGTATTTAGTTTTGATCTCTCTTCCTTCTCAATTTAATCAATTTAAAGTCAGTTACAACCGCATTAAGGAGAAATGGTCTCTCAATGAGCTCATTTCTCATTGTGTTCAAGAGGAAGAGAGAATAAAGCAAGATAAGACTGAAAGTGCTCATTTGACATCTACCTCTAAGGGCAGCAAGAAAAGGAAATTTAAGGAAGCTATAAATTCAGGGCCTCAAAGAAAGCATCATAAGGAAACTAAGGAAGAAACTAAGGAATCTGGATGCTTCTTTTGTAAAGGGACTAATCACAAGAAAAAGAACTGCACCAAGTACCACGCCTGGCGTGCGAAAAAGGGTATGTCTCTTGCTCTTGTTTGTTCTAAGGTTAATTTAATTTCGGTACCCAAGGACACTTGGTGGGTAGATTCCGGTGCTACTACTCACATAAGTGTATCCATGCAGGGTTGCCTGAGCTGCCGAAAACCAATTGATGGTGAAAGATACATCTATGTCGGTGATGGCAAGCGGGTTGAAGTTGAGGCTATCGGTGTTTTTAGATTATTATTAAAGACTGGTTTTTATTTGGATTTGAAAGAGACATTTATTGTACCGTCATTTAGGCGGAATTTAATTTCTATTTCTGCATTGGACAAATTTGGTTATTCTTGTTCATTTGGAAATAGTCAATTCAGTCTATTTCAAAATTCAGAGCTTATTGGTACCGGTCTTTTATCAGTTTATGATAATCTATATTCACTTGATATAAATGCCTCATATAATGAAACCTTGCATGTAAGTACTCGTGGTACTAAAAGAAAATTAACCAATGAGAATTCATTATCACTTTGGCACAAGCGTTTAGGACATATTTCTAAAGAAAGAATTCAGAGACTTGTGTCCGATGGAATTCTTGATTCTTTTGACTCCTCAAATTCGGATATTTGTGTTGAGTGTGTTAAGGGAAAACAAACGAACAAAAGGAGATTAGGTGCCGAGAGAGCTTCAGATCTATTAGAATTGATATATACAGACATTTGTGGACCATTCCCTACACCATGTAGAAATGGTCAAACATATTTTATCACATTCATAGATGATTACTCTCGTTATGGTTACCTTTATCTCATTCATGAAAAGTCCCAATCAATAGACGATTAGACGTGTTCAAATCTTATAAGGCCGAAGTTGAAAATCAATTAGGCAAAAGAATTATAATCGTTAGATCTGACCGTGGTGGTGAATACTATGGTAGATATGATGGTTCCGGTTAACAACGTCCAGGTCCATTTGCTAAATTCCTAGAGGAGTGTGGGATTGTTCCTCAGTACACTATGCCTGGAACTCCTAGCATGAATGGTGTTGCTGAGAGACGAAACCGTACATTAAAGGACATGGTTAAGAGTATGATTTGTCATACTACTTTACCGGATTTACTCTGGGGAGAGGCACTGAAAACTGCAGCTTACATACTCAACAGGGTTCCCACTAAAGCTACAATTAAAACCCCTTATGAAATTTGGACTGGAAGGAAACCCAGTATAAATCATTTCCATGTTTGGGGTTGTCCAGCTGAGGCAAGGCCTTATAGGCCAAATGAAAAGAAACTGGACTCTAGAACAGTTAGTAGCTATTTTGTAGGATACTCTGAGAGGTCAAGGGGGTATAAATTTTATGATCCCACTACCAGGACTATTTTTGAGACGGGAAATGCCCGGTTCTTTGTGGATATTGAGTTTGGGGGTGGGGAGATAAGGTTAGAGATTTTTTCCTTGAGGAAGAGCATGTTACTCTTCCTTCAGTTGTCATTGAACATGATCAAGATATTTTTATTCCTAACTAATAATGTTCAAGAAACAACTCCAGTTCAGGACAATCTCGAAAACATCCCCAATCAGGTACCTGAAATTATTAATGAGGATCAAACTCAACAACCTCAAGAACCTGAGGTGCCATTAAGGAGATCCACTCGAGAGAGGAGAAGTGTAATTCCGGATGATTATATTGTATTTCTCCAAGAACATGAGGAAAATTGGGAGTTGGTGGAAGAAATAATTGTCTTCCTTCAAGAACAAGAATCGGATGTTGGTTTTGCGGAAGATGATCCAATCAAGTTCCGTCAAGCCATAGAAAGTTCTAACTCTCAAGAATGGATTAATGCCATGAAAGATGAGATGAAGTCTATGAGTGACAATGACGTTTGGGAGCTAATCTCATTGCCCGAAGGTATTAAACCCATTGATTGTAAATGGATATTTAAAATCAATAGGGATTCAAAGGGCAATGTTATAAGGTTTAAGGCTCGTCTTGTTGCTAAAGGCTACACTCAAAAGAAAGGAATTGACTATAAAGAGACTTTCTCTCCGGTATCTTCGAAAGACTCTTTTAGAACAATAATTGCATTAGTGTCACATTTTGATCTTGAGCTTCATCAGATGGATGTGAAAACTGCATTTCTCAATGGTGACATTGAGGAATCAATCTATATGGAGCAGCCAGAAAACTTTGTTTCGGGAGATCCAAAGAAAATGGTTTGCAAATTAAAGAAATCCATTTATGGGCTCAAGCAGGCTTCTCATCAGTGATATCACAAGTTTCATAAAGTAATCATATCTTTTGGTTTTCAACCAAACGTCAGTGATGACTGTATATACCACAAGTTCAGTGGGAGTAAACATATTTTCCTGGTTTTGTATGTTGATGACATATTGCTTGCTAGCAACGACATAGGCTTATTGCACGAAACTAAGAAATTTCTTTCAAAGAATTTTGAAATGAAAGATCTTGGTGAGGTTTCTTTTGTATTAGGAATTCAAATACACCGAGATCGCTCCAAAGGCGTTCTTGGACTGTCACAAAAGAGCTATATCGATAAGGTTCTCAAAAAGTTTGGCATGCAAGACTGCAAACCAGGAGATACTCCAGTTTCTAAGGGAGACAAGTTTAGTCTCATGCAGTGCCCTAAGAATGGTTTTGAATCTAAAGAAATGAGGAACATTCCTTATGCTTCGCCTATAGGAAGTTTGATGTATGCTCAGATTTGTACAAGACCTGATTTAGCATACATTGTTGGGATGTTAGGCAGATATTTGAGCAATCCGGGAATGGACCATTGGAAAGCAGCCAAAAGGGTCATGCGGTATTTACAGAGAACAAAGGAATATATGCTCACATATCGGAGCTCGGATCAACTTGAGATCATTGGGTATACCGACTCTGATTTTGCTGGATGTCAGGATTCCTTGAAATCCACTTCGGGCTACATCTATATTCTGGCTGGAGGAGCTATCTCCTGGAGGAGTATCAAGCAGACTCTTACAGCGACTTCCACCATGGAAGCAGAGTTTATAGCATGTTATGAGACATCCAATCAGGCATTATGGCTGCGAGATTTTGTTAGTGGACTGCGCATAGTGGATAGCATTGAAAGACCACTTAAGCTATTGTGTGATAATAGGTCAGCAGTCCTCTACGCTAAGAACAAAAGTAGTTTGACCAAGGCAAAACACATTTGGGTCAAATTTAAGGCTGTTAAGGAACGAGTACAAGAAGGAAAGTTATCTATAGAACACATTAGCACAAACTCCATGATTGCGGATCCGCTCACTAAAGGATTGCCACCCAAAGTGTTTCATGAGCATGTTGCTCAAATGGGTGTCAAATCAGTTGAAGATTATGAGTTTTAGTGGGAGTTTGTAATGTTTTTATAATTTTGGTTAATTCAGTTTTTAAGGATATTTTCTGCAGAAATAAAGTATAAAGTTTAAAGTTTAAAGTTTTATGTACTCTTACAGTTACATTATTGATCTCAAGGTGGACCAGTTGGAAATAGACATTCTATTCCAGACCACACTTCATGTTATTTCCACGCTACACACCTATACTTGATCCATGTCGTTTATTATATTAATATATGTGATCATTGATGGGTCTAGTTATGTGAATATAGCAAAGACTTCTTTGGTCCTATGTTGATATAGTTAATGGACCGGATTGATTAAAGATGACTACAGTTTGATAGCAAAATTCTGGAGCTCCTAAAGTAAACATACAATACTAAGGATTGTGTATATATATGTGTATGTCGTCCAAGTGGGAGATTGTTAGATTATTGGACTTATACTACATGTAATATTCACAATATATTATTTATTGAGTTAATTGTATGTTATATGCTATCTTATATTTAGCCCAAAAATTAGTGGTCCTATGGATATTAATTTAAGTGGGCTAATAAGTTATCTAATAAGGTATAGGGCCCAAATGTGTAGAGACCCACGGGCTTAACCTAATTAATGATGGGCTGATTAGGGTTAAGCATTCTCTATAAATAGAGGGGTTATGGTCTCTAGTTGAACACGTCATTCCGTCTTTCTACATCCCATCGCTAGAGAGATAATTCCCGAGGGTGTGTATCAACTAGAAGACGCAAACCCTAGCCTCCGTCTCCCGGATCTCTAAAGATCATCTCCAATGGAGTCAGGTACGCTTCCGCTCAGTTAATTCTCTAGATAATTTCAATATGAAGATTAAAGTATTATCGGATTTATTCCAACAAAGACTTGTTCTAAAGCCTATCAATATGTTATAGTATAGTTCATTGCTATACCTTAATTATTGAAGCAGTAAAACTCATTTCTGCAGCCTACTCCTAAAGGACTTGGTAGTCAGCTCCTAGTAATCTGGCAGCCGGCTCCTTCAGGTTCCGGTAGCCTGCTCCTAGAGTCATCTGATTTTGGAAAACAGATTTGTACCATGTTTTATCTTCAATTCAGTTAAAAAATTGGTGACATTCATATCACCTTGTTTAAAATTTGCTTATTTCTTGCTGTTCAACAATTCTGAACAAATTACCTTGTGAGAATCGTTCCTTTGGTTCTTCCCAAATGTATTGAGCTTTATCAAACCAGAGAAATTTTTGAGCAAGATGGAGAGACAGATTTGATAATCCAAGAACTTACAATGTCGTTTGCTCTCTGCCACACAGTGTCATCCTCTGATGGCATCTCTATCGTTCCATTTATAAAGCCGACGTGAAATATTTTCTTCGATAATAAACTCAACTTCATGGACCTGCACCAGTGATGATAGTTATCTCCATGAAGGACTGGAGATACAAGAGCGATTGCAGGATTCTCGGTTAGCTTGGATGTACATAAAACGGAGAACTCGGATTTTGAGTTGGATCGTTGTTAAATGTTATTGTTGTACATTTCAGAACTTAGAGCCATCACCGAATTTGGATAGTGATAGTTCGATTGCTAATTCTCTGATACCATCTTAGATAATTTGCAAAAAGTTTGAGAAGAAAGTTTAATTTGTGGAAGAAGATAATCAAATGGATATCTGTAGAGGAAAAATATCAGTTTGTTGCATTGTTCTTACAGTTTGGTAGTAGCCAGAACTGCAATTACAAAGAAAAGGAAGTATCTAGAAGTGTCAACTCAATTCTAGTTAGTTAAATAAAAAAAATAACTAACTAAACTAATCCTTTGAGATGCTCTCATCCTTCCCCTTTGACCCTTTATCCTTTCCCGGTGATACAGGCCTTCGACCTCTTTCAAGATTTGATTTGCTAGTCTTCTCTTCTTCAATCAGCAAGAGTCTTGAAAGATGTTGATATTATCTGAACAATGAAGGATTAAATTAAAGATTTTTTTATGATTTTCCACTCTTTTAATTTCTACTTTCGGAAGTTTTTATCGGGCTTCTTCATTGGCCAAAAGTTTTGTCTTCTTCATGTGAGCATGTGGTATGTTATTCTTCGAGCAATGTGTACAGGTTGTGTGTTTCTCATCGGAGTAATCGATCTGGTGAATGTTTCTCTTTCATGGTTGACAAAGCTAATACAACCTTATTGTTCTGAGACTTCAATTACTCATCCTTCACCTAAACCACCATCTCGCTCTGTGAAGAAGAAAACGCTCAACTGGATCTCCTTTGCGAGGGTTGGTCAAACCGATGATTCAGAAAATTTCTGCTCGACTGAGTTTCTTTGTTGGTTGCTGGTCAAATCAATTTTTCCTTTCCGATGCCTAGTGAAGCCAGAATTCTTGAATTAATTTATTTCCTGTCTAGTTTGAACAATTCATTACCTTTCAATTTTTTTTTGAGAAGCAAGTTCAGTAGTTCTATTAGATCAGTCTACATAGTTGCGGGATTAGCGAATTTGTTTGGTCCTTGAAGGGCATTTGATTCTATGTCTCATCATAGTGTAACCTCGGGTTATTGCGTTGTTGTATCTTTTGATACTTTTATCATTAATAAATAATTTTTCTTTATGTAAAAAAAACATGTGTGTAATAAATTAAAACTGATTTGGGAAAGAACAAGATGAATATTAGGATGTTTTCTTTTAGACTATTTTCAGTCTCAGACCAGATCAGACCAGACCAGATCAGACTTGACTTCCGTAGTTATAAAATACACAGACCAGACGTTTACCAGACCAGACCAGTTCAGACCCGACCAGACCAGATCATCAAATTTCAGTCCAAAAGAAAACATCCTATAGTATTATTATTGCTTCTGTATGTCCACTAGTTACAATCGGTGCATCCATATATACTATACCTAGGCGATTGTCGTTACAAGCCAACTAAGGAAAGATAGTTTTTTTCCTATATAAGAAATTTTCTCTCTTGTTTACACAAGTACTAGTATCTTGGTAATTAAGTAGTGACGCACGATACTCTTGAATTGAATCTCTGATGCCACAATATAGAAATTATATATGTACATTGTGTCGTTTAATTAAGATTCTATAAGATTATATATATTGTTTGATGTATCCGATAATCTGATCTTACGTACGTGTGGTTCATTTATTTGCTTCTTGAAATACCTTAATAGTTTTTGAAATGTTCAGTGTTTTCAATTTTTTTGTTAGGTTAATTATTACACCAGACATTTGGAAATCTATTCACGATTTCGTAACTTTGCTAAACGGATTGGAAATGCATCGCAATTGTACACTGATCACATGCTTAATTTATAAGCTTTCAATGAAATAAGAAACGATACTTAAATGGGAAAAGATCATGAATGTAATGTACTTTACGCTATAAGTTTAAGGGACCAAAGGGGTTGAATTTGGCTTTGCTCTCGTATTTTGGATAAATGTGGACCATTCCATGTTTTCAAAGAGTTAGTATATGTATATTTTTGCTCATTTGACTTTGGACGAAAGTTTTTGGGCGATATTAGATTTTGCACCTCATTTTCAAGACTTTGACTTTGCAATCGTTTTGAGAAAGTTTCTTCACAATTTGTTACGTAGTACTCATAGCTACAAAGTCAAAGTATTTTCAAAATAGAGTGCAAAGTCCAATATCACCCAATTACACAATGAGCGTCATAGTAACTTAAGTTTAAAATTAAACTAGAATATAAGTTAATATGACTAGTCACATTTTATAAACTATCTTAATTTTAGTCATAAATATGTAATTATATCTAATTATATACGTAAAGTCCACTTTATATGTCTTTTATCCATGTCACCATTGTAGGTGGACTTTACACATGAAATATTGATTGTCACATTGAAACATTTGCTTCTTTATGTAATTTTTAGAGTTCCAAATTTGCATTAAAGTTTTTTATTACTTGTTTGGCACTTGATTAAAATCCAAGCCATGCATGATTCGTTCACCATTTGAACTCAATCCTAGATGACCACAGCAAAAATGGCGAAGAACTCCATCACTAGATTGCCCATTATGCTCGTTCTCTTCCTAGTCGCCTTTATCTATCTCGGCACCTTGATTCCCTTCTCCGAGAATATTATTGCATTCCAAAAACAAAAACTTGATCCACCGCCTGTAAGAGATAATCATCAGCCGCGGCTCGAAGAAGCTTTGAGAAAGGCGAAAATGGCGGATTCGAAGACAGTGATCATCACCATAATCAACAAGGCATACGTGGAGCCCATCAATGATGAAAACCCTTCGATGTTGGATCTTTTCCTTGAGGGGTTCTGGGAGGGAGAAGGGACTAGGCAGTTGCTCGATCACTTGCTGGTGGTTGCCATGGATGGCGCCGCCTACGACCGGTGCGTTTTCCGGCGGTTGCATTGCTATGGGTTGATCACAGACGGAGGCGTTGACTTCTCCGGCGAGAAGCTTTTCCTGTCTAAAGAGTTTATCGATATGATGTGGAGACGCACTCTCTTTCTCTTGGATGTTCTTAAACTTGGTTACAACTTCATCTTCACGGTAATTAAACATGCACTTAATTACAAAATTTAATATAAATATTTATATAAAATATCTATCACGTTGTAAAATCTGAATTAAAATTTAACTAAGAAGTAAGAATTAATATGATAACTAAGTGAAATAAAATGAATCTATTTGATCCAAAATAATCAGTTTTGTAACGAAACATACACAATTTGAGAGGGAGGGAGTATAATAAAAGTATAAAATTTACAATATGCAAAAAAAAACTTTTGTAGGAATGAGGAAGCATTAGAAATATAGTTCTTTTTTGCATACTTTGAATTGTTATCGTCTAAATATGTACCGGTTACATTCATAAATCATAATACATGGTGGCTTGGTGCACCTTGTAATTCTATACTCCAATATTTAATATAAAAAATATCAATATATTCAAGTTTTAGTCCCAAAGGAGTTTGGATAAGAAATAATGAGTGGATAAAAATACGAATTTTAATACACAGTGAGTCAAAATGATTCTGTTCAATTTTGCGCATTATAACTTTTATCCCGTTTATGTGTTGCATTGTCTTAGTCTCAGGGTTTTGAGAAAATAAGTTAATTATATTGTTGTTTGTGTATAATTGTAACCTTCAAAAGTAAAAAATAAAAATAAAATAAGTTAATTATATTGTTGTTTGTGTATAATTGTAACCTTCAAAAGTAAAAAAAGAAAACTCGTATGACTTACACCAAATAAAGAGATGAAATGATAGATAACATTATAATATACGGAGTAACAAGTTATTATTGCTCAATTTTAAAAAAACGTTCATTTTTTTTAAAGCCAAAAAAAGAAAATGAAATTGTAACTCATAAAATGGGATAAATAGAAAGGTAGATTCTATGGTACTCATAAGGTACCATACCTTTGTTCACATGGACCAATGAAAATGTAGCAAATAAATTATTTAAATCTAAATTGAAAATGATAAAGTGATGTGGTCCAATCAAATGAATGATAGGTGCAGTACCCCATATTTTAGAAAGGTACTGGAGTTGTCAAAGAAAAATTAACTTTTATTCATTTTTACATTACAATACACCTTGATATGATATCTCACCCCAAGTGTTACTTTAATATGCCGCGGCCTTAAAACTATCTTTGACGTATGGATTGATGCAGGACACAGACATAATCTGGTTAAGGAACCCATTCACGAGGCTGAGCAGCAATACATCAGAGGACTTGCAAATTAGTACAGACATATTCACCGGGGACCCCTGGTCAACCTCCAACCCAATCAACACCGGCTTCTATTACGTCCGGTCAAACCCTAAAACCATCACACTGTTCCAGACCTGGTACGACTCCAGAAACAGCTACCCCTCCAACATGAAAGAGCAAGACATCCTTGCCCTAATGAAAAGAGCTGGGGTGTTCAAACAGATGGGCCTTCTCGTAAGGTACTTGGATGTCACGTACTTCAGTGGATTCTGCACCGATAGTAAGGATGTCACTGTCGTCGTCACCGTGCACGCTAATTGCTGCAAAGGCATTGCCGCTAAAGTTGTCGATCTCAAACATGTTCTGAGAGACTGGAAGAATTACCGCAGGGGCCGTCACGTAATTGTGCCGCCCAATTATAGCCACAGTGACAATAACAGTGACAATAACAATAACAATAACAATCATTTCAGATGGTCTGAACACTACTATTGCAATCATTCTTGGGGGCCTAGTAAAAATACTTTGGTTTAGTTCTTTACGCTTAAATTCCGCAACCAATATATATACTCAAATTTATGTCCAAACAAAATGCGTATATAATGTTGTGTCCCGGCGGCCGGCCATTTGGGTGTTAAGAGTAGATTTTTGATGCTTTTACTAAAATATTATTCAAATTTTATAATGTTGTACAAAAAATAATTAAATAAAGTGACAACATAATGAGTATACTTTCATAGCTATTATGGTGTAAAATACTCCCTCCGTGACATTTATATCTTCCCACTTTCCTTTTTTTTGAATGTAACATTCATATCTTCCCATTTCCTAATCTTTCAATCATACTCTCAATAATTCTAAAAATAAAACACTATTACACCTATATATATATATAGGTTATCACAATCCCCAACCAATATATATACTCAAATTTATGTCCAAACAAAATGCGTATATAATGTTGTGTCCCGGCGGCCGGCCATTTGGGTGTTAAGAGTAGATTTTTGATGCTTTTACTAAAATATTATTCAAATTTTATAATGTTGTACAAAAAATAATTAAATAAAGTGACAACATAATGAGTATACTTTCATAGCTATTATGGTGTAAAATACTCCCTCCGTGACATTTATATCTTCCCACTTTCCTTTTTTTTTGAATGTAACATTCATATCTTCCCATTTCTTAATCTTTCAATCATACTCTCAATAATTCTAAAAATAAAACACTATTACACCTACTTTTTTTGGATTTATCCTTCATTCCATCACATTATTTCACTCTCTTCTCATCATACCCTCAATAATTTATATCCCCTTTCACTATTCTTAATCTACCTACTTTTCAAATGGGAACATATACTCCCTCCGTCCCAATTTACTTAGCCAAACTTGTTTTTTTAAGTCAATGGTACCTAACTTTGACTGATTATATATCTATATAGAAAAAAATATTAATAATATAAAAATTATATGAAAATGTTCTTTGTTGAAAATACTATTATAAAAGTATAAAATTATTAATTTTTTCATAAATATATTAGTTAAAATAATTGGTCAAAATGCACCACCTTTGACCGGAAAAGTCAAGATTGGCTAACTAAATTGGGACGGAGGTAGTATATGTTACGGAGGGAGTACTAAAATATGAATATCTATATTTGTAGTCATAAAAATGTTAAGTTATGTTTTTGTTCAATATAATTATTTTTGTAATATTTCCCAATTCGTGTGATTTATATTTAATTAATAATTTAAGGATAAAGTAAGAATAAATTAGAACCACATAAAGTATAAAGTACTACGTATGAAATATGATGTGAGACCAACTTAATAGAAACACGTAGTATGAGAGAACACAACACTGCTTACCAATAGGTGTCTCTCGGTCTCTCCCACAGTCTCACCCATTATAAGCGGTCTCGGTCTATTGCAAACGGTAAGTGTAGAAAACAAATATTTCTCTCGTTCCTTAATAGTTGTAACATTGTGATTTGTGCATTATTCACATATACACTTTGACCACGATTTTCTACTAATATAACAATCAAATTATTACTCCCTCTGTCCCGGCCAATTCGATGGTCTGGTTGTCGTTTATGAGGTTTGACCGATGATAAAGCAAATAGATTCATATCCACACTCAAATTATATGTAGGAAATAAAAATTACATAGTCAAAAACTAGCAACATTAATAGCTTTACAAAATCGCAAAAAAAAATCAAATTTGATAAAAGTTTGATATACTCCGCTGAAATACAGAACATATCAATAAGAAATTAAGAGTGATTTGTACTAAGAAACATGAACATCAAATAGGGATGGGAGTAGTATTAAATTTCTATTAATGTGAATCTCCATAGTATTAACCTTTTTTATAAAATTTACTCATACGTAATCATATATAATTACCACTATTAGAGAAGGAAAAATAATACTCATTCATGTAAGCGCGGAGGATATTCTGTTTTTTTTTGTATTGGTACATGGTAGAATATGACGTACATTAAAATCAATGTTGATTTTATGTTTGGGAATTGGAATCAAGTGATTTATTTCCTAGGGAAAAGTTGCACATATGGTATAACTAAAAATAATAGAACATAAATACTAGTTGACTATATTAATAAGCGCAAATTATATCGTAGAACTAGTTCTAACGTGCGTTCAGTACAACCGGGCTTTTTATTACCACTGGGCTTCACTCATCATCACCATTACACAATTGGACGCGACATCGCTCGCAGCTCGCACCCTTAGACAGACGGCTCACCACTCAATGTACGGCTCGTTGTTAACACCCCGGATGGCCAGTAGCTCGTCTCACACAAGATCTCCTTGCTCGCGGTCTCATCATTAGCTCCTCCTAGGCGACGAAACTCACGCAACCACCACAGGTCAGATTAGAGTTCTTCACGATCAGATTGAAACTTGTTCACATAGTCTCAATACTCAATATTACATAACACGATACTTAATGAAGATGTTTTGATGTTCAACATAGAGTTCTAATTCTCAATGAAATGTTTGATCACATTGTTTCAATGCTCAAGAGTAGAGAACATGATACTCAATGAAGATGTCTTGATGCTCAATGCAGATTCTAATGTTCAATGAAGATGTTTGATAACATAGTCTCAATGCTCAATAGTAGATAGAGAAAGAATGCTCAATGAAGAAGTTTTTATGCTTATCATAAAATTTTGAAAAATTTATACTCAATTGAAGAGTTCCAATGCTCAATATTAGACTCTTAATACTCAACATAATAGATCTAATACATAATAAAAATGCATTGATGCTAAATTAACAAAAGTTGTATGTGGTTTCAACTAAATTACAAAAATACTACCTCCTGTATAGTTTACACCGTACAACCAACGGTACGATCTACAAACCCACTAAAAAGTGAGGTTACAATACCACAAATCAATATTCGTTCATTTCATATCTCAACATTTTATCATTTTATTAGGTTTCATAATTACAGTGATAATTAATGGGTTAATTTCATACATAAGAGCCCAAAATGACTTGAATGCATAATTAGGAGTACACAAGTTACGCATTTGGAAGTAGGAGTTCTTACTACTATGTTTTTACTTGAACTAAATTCAGTTCTAGACCAAATCAAAGTAGAACGCATTAGTTCAAACCAAACTTAAAGTATTAAACAGGTTATACTTCGATAGTTATAAAACGACATAGACCAGACATACCATACAAGTCCGGTTCAGACTAAACGACATCATACTTGAGTTAAACAGAAAAGCCAAGACCGGACAAAAAAATCATTTCAATTAAAAAAAAAATTATTCCCTTCTTACACTTCGTTCTATTTTAATTGAAAACAAAATTACCACCAAATAAAACAGAATAAAACAAACCAAATTACCACCAAACCACGACCGCTGCCAAACCGTGGCAATTGTGCACGGAACCTAACCGTGGTGATCACTCAACTATTTGTGACCATCATCGAGATCTAATGAAAAACCTGAGAAGGCCACCATGGCGCGGGGATATCATCCTATAGTAATACCTCAAATATTAATGTAAGGAAAATACCTCAAATTGGACTAAAACTCATTCATTTTCCAACATAGAACAAGTACTTTAAACTTCCATAAATAGGTTTTTTATTTGTGATTGAATAAAAATACTCTTATAGACTACAGTGTTAGAGTTGTTGCCCCAGATTGTCCAGGTCACCGGAACGCAAAGCCGATCCTGGGGCATGGGCAACGGGCATGCGCCCAGGGCCCATTGCTCCATTTTATAAATATATTTATACCTATATATTTTAATTATGTATCTATAAAATTTTAAAAATAAAGTCAAGCGTATAATTCTTTTATACTTTCATCAATTCATTATTCAACAATATGTACAAGTAACAAGTTTAAAATTTTGAAATTAAACATCCATACCAGAATTCGTTGGGAATAAAATTTACAATTTCTTTTGATTCATTAAGAAGTAATGCATAAATGCTAATTTTTTTCATCTAGTTCTCTCATGTAAACTCATGATTCATTGATAATATTCTGCTTATTTTCTTTATTCTCTCATGTAAGGGAAAGAATTTATAAGTTTGTGGTTTGTTCAAAGGAAAATGTGATCTGGAATATGAAAAATGTTACTCCGTACTTCATACGAAGTATAAGATATAAACTTTCACATGTTTCACTATTTCAAAATTCTTTATAGCAAGTAACAAATGTACTACGTTACTTTTCCATTCGGCCAGTTTAGGTGCTTAGTATTCTCGAATGTCACTCATCAAATAGTTAAATATAATCCTTCTAACCGCCTCATTTATTAATTTCTTTGATATACTCATATTTAGATAACAGAATTGCTTAATTGTACTTATAGTTTTTAAAAATATATATATATAAACATTCACACATTTTCTTTGTGGCTTACGCTATTTGTACTGTCCTCGACCCATAACCCATAAGTGTCAGTACCGAACCTGTTGGAACGTCGCCTACCAGAAAGGCGTGAGATGGTGCAATTGCACCCTTACAAACGTTGCCTACCAGAAAGGCATGAGATGGTGCAATTGCACCCTTAAACACTCTGATTTTAAATAATAATGCACTTTTTTTCTTAGATGCAACAAGCCAACAATGTTTCTTTATACTAATTAAACTTTATTTACAATGTCTGAGTATAAACATTTATTTAGGGGGACTAGTATCATTCACCTAGAGTCCTAGACCAGAATTAGCTGGGGCGGTTGGCCCCCATAACCTCCTAGGGCCTCCATTGAATGATCAATGATGAATTATATACTAGCCTACTAGGTATGGGTGTAATCGGCCTGACATGCATCCCTGTAATATGGGTGTAATCGGCCTGTATTATGCTGCAAAAACTCATATCTCAGATCATAAAATAAGCAAGTTGGGAGAAAGCTATTAATGGGAGCCCGGAAAAGATAGCAGCGTGATAAACGAGTCACATACTCACATGCATCTAACATGTTGATAATTTGATCAAAAATGTTTGGGGTACACATTTTGGTATACAATTTTCGTACACTTGTCTGTTTCACGCATACAAAATTTTGTCCATAAACAGCTCTACAAAGTTATCTGTGAATAGACAATTCTA